TATTTTTTTGCTAAAATCAACTTCTTCAAAAATTGAATCTTTAGAATAATTATCTTTATAAAACATTTTTTTGGGCTCGCTTTTCAGAAGTTTAATCCATTTTATATTTAGCCAATTAACCTTTTCACTGTGCATTGACTTTTTCTGTTAGTAATATTTCTTTCAAGTCTAACAGTACTAAAAAATGCACAAATTCAGGTAATTTTTTTTTTTGTAGTTTTTATGATGTTTAACCAAGACTCATCAATATTTGTTGATGATACTTTTTCTGCCTTTCAATTATTGCAAAATCTGTATCACATGTTGAAAAGCTATGACCAGGTACAATGAATTTCATATTTATTTCAGTTAATGAATGCTGACCTTTAAACAACACGTTTAACATTGCAAGAACAACTTTAATATTTCTGTTTTGCCCTCCACAACTGTCACTGTACATAGTTAAAGTCACAATTGATTTCAGCAAAAAATAACAAATGTGTTCAATAAGGCAAGATGAAACTTCTTGACCTCCTCGCGATGCAACACTTTCATCCTAAATATACATGTGCCCTTATATTTTTTACTTCATCGTGAATGCCTAGGTTAAATACCCACAAGAATACAAGAGAGTTTGCAAAAATGAAACAGAGCCAGTAAATCCTGCTTCATTATTTGTTTTTAAAAAGATTTTTAATACAAGTTTTAACCTACATTTACATGTAATGTTACCATCACTGATGTCAATTGTATTTTTGAAAAATGTTTTGCATACAATCTTATTGCATCCATTTTCATTAGGAAAGCAGTACACTCTAGTTTTATTCCTTCGAGATATAATATTTTTGGTGTATTTTCTTTTTAAGATTGTTGTACTTACTTTACCCAAAATAAATGCATTTTTTAATGACCAACCCATAGAATAATTTGTATCAAATATTTTTTGTTGTTGTTCAATTGATATTTTTGTAGAAGTTTTATAATTTTTAACGTAGAATGTTTATAATTTTGAAATAAATTTACTTTTGGCTCTTTGAAATGCTCACACGAAAAACTTGGAATAACGGCTGTAATCGTTGAGGAAATATCGCTGTCATAAATTGAAGAAAGCGACTTGTTAGAAAACTCGTTTAACGCCATTTTGTATGCGGATAGATATGTGTGGCTTTAAATATTTTAGCTAAAGCCGATACGCTAAACTAAGTAAAAGTAATTGCTGCCCAGTGCATTTAAATATTTCAATTATTGTTTATTGTGGTTTGCAAAGAAATGTTATGTAAATCATTTTTTAATAAAAACCCATTTTTTTCAATTTTGTTGTGTAGGCTGGTTTGGCGCTTAACCATCCATATAACTCCTAGAAATATTGTATATTATATTAAAAATAATTTTTTAATAAAGATAAGTTTAAATACCATGAACAGATGTTTTAATTAAATTCAATTACAAAAACTTATCTAAGATAATAACTTAAAAAAAATTATAACTTTCATACATTTGTTATTTGCAGTTTATTTATAAACATTATATGTTATTTGCAGTTTATTTATAAACATTGTTAAAAAAAATTTGTATTTTATTTTTTTAAATTGTAGGATTATCTTCTGATGGACTTGGTAAGAAATTTTTGTTATAGCATCTCTGTATGCTTTTGTAAATAATTTGTAATATTTTTTAAAAAATATTACAATCTCTGCTTTTATTATTTTTGTTTTGTTAAATTACTTTTCTTGTATTTATTACTAGATTTTTCTATAGCATGTTTACATAAAAGAACTATATGTAATTTTTATGCAAATACATATAAGTTTTCAAAGTATTTTTTTGTATAAAAATCTTAATAAGTTTTGATGTTTAAAAATTGATTTCTAAACTAATTATTAACAAAACCTTCAGGTGTAGTGCGTCCCAGAGGTGTGCAGTCTAGGGACTCAGGTACTGAATTGTCCTAATAAATCCTTTTTTTATTTGGTTTTTTTATTTTTGAAAAAACTTCTGTTAGTTGAACAAAAAGGTTTTAATTTTATTTTTATAGGTGTTCAGCAAAGTTCTAATGAAAACTCAGGTATTTATCTTTAATATAAGTTCTAATGAAAACACAAGTATTTATCTTCAATATAAGTTCTAATGAAAACACAGGTATTTATCTTAATATAAGTTGCAATCCAAAAGATTTTTTGAGGTAAATAATAAGTCTTAGTAAATATATTTTTTAAAAAATATTTTTATTTACGCATTTATTAACAAAACATAACAATTTTTGATAGTTTTCAATTGTATGTCTAAATTGAACAAACACGTCATCTGATTAAACTAAAAAAACTTTAAGAACAGACTAAAAAATTAAAAAGTACATACTATTTATAAATAAAAGTATATTCAATAATTATATTATTTATGATAATGATAATAGAAGATTCAAAAATATTTTAGAATTTATAAAAGTTAAAAAAAAATACAAAAAACTTACGGCATGCACATTTATAGTGCCTTGTGCATTATCAGTTAATGGCGCCTGAGTTGATTCTTCCAATATTACATGAAGTATGATACTATTTTGATGGTTTTCTAAATTCTGTCATTGTTGCGCACTTGGTTTAAAATGTTTAACGGGGGCGTGATAAAATAGCTGTAAAACTCTAAATTTTCTTATTACTTTTATTTTAGGTAATTTTAACTTTTTATTATTTTTAAAAATAATAAATTTGATAAAATGATTTATTTTATATATAAAATTAGAATTTTCAATTACGTTCTTAATAAAAACATACTTTTTAACCCCCCCTTCCTCCTACTATTTTAAAATAAAGTTAAGGTTGCTGAGTGGCAAGTTCAAGTCACCAGTTTTTTTTTTTAATTTTTGTTATTTAAAATGCAAAACAAAACAACATTATAGTTATATAGATTTTATATTCTATATATAGATTTTTTGTGTATGTGTGTGTTATTTAGATGCCCCCAAGAAGATCTAACAGTCTTGTCACAGAGCACTGTAGAAGTACATTTAACCAGGAAGTTTACACCTCCTTCCTTACTGTGATGTGAAAATATATGTCCAGAGCTTGTTTTGAACCTGGATCTCTTGCCTATAAAGCAAGCGCTGTAACCACTGCGCCATGGCCGCACATATAAAAACATGTTTATATTCGTTTTCCTTGTACAAACTCAACTTAGTTGTAGAAAACTTGAAATGTGAAACTAAAATAACAAAATCTAATATCATAACATATAAGCGCAACAAATTTCTCCCAGTGTTTTGATAGTTTTAGAAATTTTAAGCTTTTTTAAAAATTCTTTTTCTTTCGTTTGTTATGTGTATAATAACTTTACATATGTTATGTATATTACATCTATAAAACTTCAAAAGTGTTTTGTACTTTAAAAAAAATTAAGAAAGATTTAAAAAAAAACGTTGCCAGTGGTAGGATTCAAACCAAAGCATTTTTGTTCAGAAGCTCAGTGAGGTAACCACTTGGCCACGCTGGCATGCTAAGTAATGAAAATTTTAAAACTATGTAAAAAATAAAAGATTTTATAAAAAGGAAATAAATGCTATAGATCAAAATTAAGGAGATGTTGCTGCAATGCAATTTTCCAGCAAAAGTAAAACTGTAAAACTTGATATATGTTTTAGTATGTTTTAACATTACATAATTTGAAGTTTACATACCTTAGATATTTGCATGCACTTTAGTTCACATTATCTTATAAAACAAAGTGCTGAGAATCTTTCTTGCCATTACCTCGGTTGCAATGGCTGCCAAGAGTACCCTGTCAAACACGCTCAAATGAGCATTGTTATTAAGTTCCTCAATTTATAATATGATTGTTCTTTTAGAAAAAGATCTATTAAATTCAAATTTAATAGATTAATATATGATCCGAGACCTTAATCTATTCTAATTTAATAAAATCTGCATGAATTAAAATAGTTAAATACTAAAACAAGCATAAATTTTTAAATAATGTATAATAATGTAAATAATGTATAATAGTTTTAAATAATGTATAATAATGTAAAAAAATTATGTATAAAATTAATATATAACTATAAATTTAAAAGTTATATTTAAAAATTATAATTAAATATAAATATATTTAACATGAATTAAAATTGATAATAAGTTTATATAATACTAATAAACTTAATATAATTTTTATAATGCATTAGATTTTCGGTTGAATGCCATTAAACGTTCAATATCATTTGCAGAGGAGGACATAATTCTTGAAGATTTGGATTTTTCAGATTACAGAAACATTTTGATTAAAACACGTATAATTTAAATAATTTTTAATTTCTTTCAACTTAAATATTTTAAATAATTTTATATTTTTAACAATTTTAAATGTTAAATAATGTTTTTAACTTCTGCTAACTTAAGTATTTAAATATTTTTAACAATTTTAAATATTAAATTAATTTTTTAACTTATGTTAACTTAAATCAACAATATTTTTAAAAATTAAACTTTTTAAATCAAATCATTATAACTAATTATACATTAAAATAAGTTCACAATCATAAGACTTTTTTTTTAAACATTTTTACTTTCAACAAGGCTGCAAGCAACCACTATATGAGTTGGAAGTTACTTTCAACAAGGCTGCAAGCAACCACTATATGAGTTGGAAGTTACTTTCAACAAGGCTGCAAGCAACCACTATATGAGTTGGAAGTTACTGGAAGAGAAAAGGTGAAGTTTATAAAGCAAGATAACGATTAACAGATGATTCGAAAGGTTGTAAATTATATGAATCAGAAAAACAAGATATGGCAACAGCATTCCTTGTATGGAAAACTGTTGCCATATCTAAAGCGGATTTTTGAATGATAGCCAACCCAAATTAAATTGAAAAAATGCCAAATTAAAGTAAAAATTGGCCAACTTAACCTACTAATACTATTTTTACTTTAATTTGGCATTTTTTTAATTTAATTTGGCAATTTTCACTTTCATTTGTAAAGTGAAAAATGCCAAATTAAAATGAAAAAATGCATAATTAAAGTGAAAATTAGCCAACTTAAACGCAAAAAGTTGTAGTTTTTTTCCTTTCATCAGTTCTTTGGAATTTGCTTCACACTGCTTGATTCTAAGGATTTAAGTGTATTGCTTAAGTATGTAGTGCATATGTACGAAAATAAATTCATAAGTATGTAGTGCATATGTACGAAAATAAATTCATAAGTATGTAGTGCATATGTACGAAAATAAATTCATAAGTATGTAGTGCATATGTACGAAAATAAATTCATAAGTATGTAGTGCATATGTACCAATGTTTTGAAAATAAAATTCTAAGTATTCTTTCTTAGTATAAAATTGATATTTTCTGAAATCCAGAAAATAGTGTTTTTACAATAGTATTCTAAAAATTCAGCAGATTTAATAAACTGCAAGATATCTTTATTGTATGTAGATTTTAGAAGCATATCAAAACAACTCTTCGCAACTGAAACATTTTTAGTATATAGTTAGAATATATCTATATATATGTATATCTATATCTATATATATATACATATATATAGATATATTCTAATCTATATCTATATATATGTATATATATATATATATATATACACATATATATATATACACATATGTATACATATACATACATATGTATATGTATATATATATAAACAGGCTTTCACAGGAAGACGTGCGATTTCACGTCTTTATATGACCACGCAATTTACATTTTACTACGAAGGTTTGACCGTGGCTAATTCAAAAAACATTTTAGAAATACGCTAAATAAAAAATATTCTAAAAAAGTGAAATTAATTACATCAAAACTTCTTAACAAATGTTTTTATATTAGCAAAACGATTTTAAATAAAGTAACAATTTACTGAAAAAAAGTTTTGTTTTTTAAATATAATTGACAGTTGTATATATTTTTTAAATTTAAAACATATAAATTGTTTAAGTGTTCATTTCTAAAATAAATCTTATTAAAAAATAAAAACTTGTTTTGTTTTTGTAAACGATGACATTCTATGACAACGAAAGTCTCTTTAACGAATTTAAGTATAAGAATGATTAAAGTTAATGCATTTAAAAAGATAAACAAAATTTCGTTAAAAAAAAAGTTTTAGAAAACTGTTACAATTTAATAAGTTTGATCTTAAATGCTTTTATATTATCGAAACGCTTTTAATGAAGTAAAAAAAAAACACTTTTAATTAATTTAAAAAAAAGTATTAATAAAATATTTTTTTATTTTATTTAAATAACTATGTATTTTTTATGAGAAATATTTAACTTTTGAACATATAAATAACATAAATAAATAAAAAATATATAAAAATGTTGAAACAAAGATTGAAAAGGTTTTTTAATGCGTAAATTAAATAGACTAAGCATTTTAGTTTGATGAGTTTTGTTTTAGTTGCGTTATATATATATATATATATATATAATATATATATATATATATATATTTGTTTTTTTGTGTTTTTGCTTTAACTAAGTATTTTTTTTTATTTTCTCTTTTGTTAATATTTATTATTTTTTTAAATTTTTTTTCAGATAAGTTTAGGTAAGTTTTTGTAGCGCGTTTTTAAATTTAAAAAATATGCCGTGGTCAAATCGTTAAAACATTTTTTTTTTTTCGTGATCATATAAAGATGTGAAATCGCACGTCTTCCTGTGAAAGCCTGATATACATATACTAGGTGTAGTAATTGAAAACCAGATTTGGCACATAAATGGCTTTTTTTCAAAAAGTACTCAATATAAATATTTATTTTTTTTAGATGTAACATTCCTTTACAAAAATTAGATGTCAATTGAATGCGTCTCATACAACAACATTGTTTTTTATTACCTTAAAAATGTTGAATTTTGTACCAGAAAAGCATCATTTGCGGGAAACTTTACTTTTTTGTTTTCATTTAAAGAAAACTGCTACTGATGCTTGTCAAATGCTTGAGGAAGCTTGTTGTGAACATATTCTATCGAAAACAACTTATGAAGACTGGTTTAAACGATTTAAAAGTGGTGATTTTGATGTGAAAGACAAACAACGTCCAGGTCAAAAAAAAAAGTTTGAAGACAGTGAATTGCAAGAACTATTGGATGAAGACAATACACAAACTCAAAAAGAATTGGCAGAAGCATTAAATGTTTGTCAAAAAACAATTTCCAATCGTTTGAAAGCAATGGAAAGGTCCAAAAGCTGGGAAAATGGGTTCCACATGAATTGAACGAAATACAGCAAGAAAGACAAAAACCATTTGCGAAATGCTCATTCAAAAGCAAGAAAGAAAGGGTTTTTTGCATCGAATCATTACTGGAGATAAAAAATGAATATTTTTCGAAAATCCATAGCGCAAAAGATTACAGGTTTCACCAGGACAATCATCAACATCGACTGCAAAAACAAAACGATTCAGAAAGAAGAGAATGCTGTGTGTTTTGTGGGATCAGAAGGGAATTGTGTACTATGAGCTGCTGGAACCTGGTCAAATGGATTATTCTGAACGCTATCGACAACAAATCGTAAATATGAACCATTCATTGATTGAAAATTGACCAGAATGGAAGAATAGGCATGAAAAAGTGATTTTGCAACATGACAATGCTTGACCACACAAATCAAAAGATGTGAAAAATTAAATGTACTTGAAGAATTACCACACCGCTTGAAAAAAAATGAGACGGAATTTGTAAGTTACCTGAAAGATGGAAAAAATGTGTAGCTAACGATTGAAAATACTTTAAACAAACCATCTATAATCCTTCACTAAAAAAAAATGTGTTTTCTTTGACAAAAAAAAACCCGGTTTTCAATTACTACACCTGGTATACACCCAAAGTTTTTTGTAAAAAGTGCATTATACATGGTTTGTTGCAACTTTTAACCGGTTATTCCAGTTAACACAAAAACATCTTCAATTGAATCCTAGATTCCAAATACCTTTTATTAGACACCTATACAGTCATTTTAGCCTAAAAATTTATGGTTTTAAAAGTTTCCAAAGATCGGTATTTTTGCTATACTTTGCTGTAATATCTTGCATAACAATGTTATATGACTGTAGAGAAAATATTATATAACTGTAATGTAGAGAAAAAACATTTCAAAAGGTCCATCAACTGCCACCCCAAATACTACCAACTAGATACATAAAAAATCATTTATTTGTATGAACTTACTAATTATACTAATTATACAACAACATTTTTAAGTAATAAGTTCAACAAAGTTAGAACTTATTACTTAAAAAAGCTTAAGCAAATTCTGTTTAGATTCTAAAACATGAAAAAGTTCTCTGTGACCAATTGTTGTCTTTAAATCCTTTCTTGTCTGTAAACTTCCATAATGTCAGAAGCTCTTGTAACTTCTTTCATAATTCTTTCTATAGATTGTCCGTTAACATGAAATTCTGGAACTTTTATCTGGATTTCTAAGAATTTAATAAGTTCTTTTTTACTAATCTTGCATGCAAGCAAAGGTTTGTACGTATCAGTACTCTAATCAATCAGTTTGATAACAGTTTTAGCATCCGTGTTAATTTTTAGAATTTTTATTAATTTAACAGTTCCTAGAGAATTTAAATTTCTTATTGGAAGTATTGTTTTCACTACAAACATCCTCTCTTTTTTATATTTGCTACAAAGTTGTAGCAAATATAAAAAACATAGGACAAAACTGATTTCTGAATATTTAAGTTCATGTTTTGGACAAGTTCCCGCTGTTTGATAATATGGTATAGTTCATTAGTTTATTTTTGTTTTACCTAAACATATTTTGTTAATAAAATTATCCACACACACACGCACAAACACGCAAAATGATTATCTGTATTAATTTATTAATACAGAGTATTCAACACAGAACTGTACAAGGTGTTTTATATTCTCAGCATTGTTTATGTTTAATCCATACTATATATATCAATATCTAATAAATTAATTTCAATATCTGTATCTTGAATTGCTTTAGTGGAAATTTCGAAATCATTGGCAATAGGTACAAGTTTACCAATATTGTCAGAAAAGTTATTGTTTGAAATTGTTTTTCTGTCAATATCTTTCATTAAGTACTTCAAAGGTTGTTCATTTGTGTGAAAGGCACAAACTGTCCAAATTTTTGTTTAATGTTTTTTACCTAAAAAATGAATAATACCTCCCTTCTAGCCTAAAAGATATTATTTAAATATATGCATGGCATATATTTATGCATGGCTCTGCACAAACCAAAACCTTTTTGTACAACTGTGTGGTAAAATTTTCCATCTTCTTTAATCCAAGAAAATTTTGT